CTAGATTTGGCCTTCATCCTCAAGAGTTGCTTTTGCCGGAGAGTGGTAGTCTCATTCTGCTTGGATCCATGCATGCGTGCTTGGGGCACTCCGGAGCCTGTTGATATATTTCTGTCTTTTCCGCAGTCACATCCATGTTGTACCATTAGCGTCACAGCCGTCTCTCTCTTTTTCCCATCCACTACGCTTCCTCTTTTCATTAGTTTCATTCGAACCCTTCCTGAACCCAGACATTCTGCAACTCCCGGTTCAGGTACCTGGACCTGTATACATCATCATGGGGGATCGTCACAGACGATCACGTCTTTCCGGTGATACCGTGACGGCGATGTGGTTGAAGACCGAGCGACCACAGAATCCAAAGCTCGCCAACGACAAGGACGCATTGCCCCTGGTACGCCACATATATCATCCTCTGTCTGGTGGTAATCCGGAGACAATAGACTGGGAGATAGAAAAACCTCCTCTGCAAGACAGTAAGGAAGTTCAGGTTTGTGTGCAGTCATGCATCTCAATAAATCCGACACTCCTTGGCGTCAAACGTGTCGTGAAAACAGTCAAGTACGACGAAAAGGAAGAGATTCTGCACAGAAATGAGCTTCTAGCGATGGTTAAGTTCAATGGAGGAACGGACAAGGTCAGTAACTAGTTTCTCTCCAATTACACCGTTGGAATTCCCCATGTTAACTATTGGTGCTAGGATCGAAAGCGCCTCTTTATAGAGTGCTTAGGTTGGTGGACGGAGGGTAAATACCTCAACATCGCGATGGAGTATCTGCCACTTGGGGACTTACGCCACTATTTGGAAAAGAATGGGCCGTTGAAGGAGAATGATTGCAAGTGAGTCATCTTCCAGGTGCTTCTAGGGCTTGGATTCATGCATGAGCAGGAATATACCCATCGCGACATTGCCCCAAAGGTACATCCTCCCTTATGCATCCCCTTGCGCACTCCTTTAATGCCTTTATCCATGCCCTATCACCGTGCTCCCTATTTGCTAACTTCTACTACACAAAGAATATCTTTATACGGAGCTGTCCACAACCCAATAAGCCCGACGAGAGATTGTCGGTCGTGCTTGCTGACTTTGGCTTCTCGAAGTCGGTCAGGATTAAGCAAGACGTAGCGAGTGGAGTGAGGACCACTTGGGCATACGGAGCACCCGAGATCCAAGGATCTGAAGATTTTTGGCCGCCACAGCTGCAAGAGCCTAAAAACTTCCTGACTATCGATATGTGGTCTCTAGGGGTTACGATGTTTGAGCCTCTCACTAAAAAGCTACCGTTTGGCGATAACGGAGCCGACGGCAGGGACTTTGTCAAGATGTGGGACGAGGAGGAACATTGTTGGATAGACGCAATACCAAAGAGGAAGTGGAAGAAAGTGCGGAACGATCATCTTCCATGGTTTGTGGCACGGGAAGTTTCAACAACCGCACAGAAATTCCTATACGGACTTTGGACGGAATTTGACAAGCGGCCCACTGCTTCCAATGCGATGAAGCATGAGTGGTTCTACAACAAGACCGAGTTCAATTTCCCCTCAACCTATCTTCCAGGCGGCTATCAGTGAGTCATCTTCGGACCAAGAACCTATTTACTGGAATTATCCAAGCTTACAACTTCCAGGCAGTCGGACATCCCTGACTACAACGATAATTACACTTCCGCTTATCGTCCCGGGGGACTCGCACGACGCCCCATCAACGGCGAAGATAGCGCTTCACATTTCTCTGGGTTAAGAAGGATACCGGGAGGTACCCAGTAAGTCCTCTCCTAACGAACATGTGGGCTACTCCAGCATTATCCAAAACTAACTTTAACCTTCCAGGCGGTTCGGACGAGCCTCAATAGCATCGAGTGTCGCCAGTCCTGCAGAGCTTCCAGATGCTTCTGTCAAATTGGAAGTAGCCAGTCTCGCACCGCCTCTAGTTGCTTCCTCCAAAGCTTCTTCCAGATCGGAAGCAGAGAGTTCTTATCATACACTTGTCGCGAGCGAGGCATCTGCTCCTGGTCAAACTGCCCGGTCGGCTGCAAGAAGCGTACCTGAAAGCGTGTCCCAAAATTCCGACGTGGCCAAACCAGGTCAAGGTGCACTTCACATATGCCCCTATACCAAGCTCTATGGCGGCGAGCGAAGCCCTTTCGAAAAGGACAAGGACTTGACGTGTGATGAAAATGTCACGTTCCTTCGCAAATCTGACCTCCTCCGGCACATGAGCGAGAGACATGCACCATCGTCCATGGCGGTAAAGCCAATTCCAGACTATGCGTTCACCGTCGCCAACACAACTGGAGCGGAGCAGCAAACTGCGGTACAGAAGTTGTGGTGGAACGCCGTGTATGACCAACAAATTATATTGATGAAGTATCTCCTCGACAAGCTCAAATTCGATATCAATATGCTAATCTATTTTACCTCTCCCAGGGGCAAGCTTAAAGGCATGGCCCTCGGAGTGACGGCACTTTACTATGCGGCTTTTCATGGCAACAACGACATGGTCAAATTCCTCCTTAGCGAGAAAGCCGATACACGGCCCCAGGACGGGCTCGACCTCACCCCAGAGCTAATTGCTGTACGCCAGCGCCATGAATCCACAGCTCAGCTTATCGCCGAGGCAGAAGCCAAGCGAAAGAGTGAGAATAGGAATGAGGCTGAGCGCATCAAGGCCGATGACCGAAGACGCCAGGCGGCGGGTCTCCCAACGAAAGAGTCTGTGTTACAGGTAGTACGGCAGGTATTACAGCAAAGACTTCCATCTAGCTCCATTTCTCCGGGGCGTAACGACTCGGGCGATGCAAAGAGGAAAGACCTGGTGACCGGTTACCAACGGGAGGCTTTGAACAGAGGCATCCAAGCACAGGGCCTGAAACGAGCTCCAGACTCGAATCTCTCAGACGAGAGACCCCCCAGCCGACCAAGAAGCAGCCACTACGACCCAGCCACCACTCAAGACCTGCTCCCCGACGGCCGCCCACCAACTCCTTCCCCAGCCTTCAACTTGCACATGACCGCCCAACTCCAATCCCAAGACCTCGGCCTCGACCCCAGCCTCGCAGGGCTCGGCTTCTACGACTTCCGTCCCAAAATCGAATACGACGGCCTCCCATATCAGGGGGATCTTTCTCTTCACCTGACCACATCCTCCTTCTCCTCTAATGGCAGCCGCTACTCGTCACCCTCCCCAATGACACCACCCCCAGGAGGATTCCCCGCCCCTCCCATGCGACTCGGTCAACACTCGCGTCACTCCTCCATCGGATCTCTAGCCGGTAGCTTGGAAGGGTTCAACATCGGCACGCCCACCACCGACCCCCCGAACATGCGCACAGACGGCCTACCGCCAACTGACGCCGAGTATTTCAATAATTCGACATTCTCGTCGTCGTCGTCGTCTTCTTCGTCATCGAAAAGACCGTTGAAGGCTATGCCGCAGCAGAGCCATCACGGTCAGCATCACGGGGGATTGTTGTATGGATCTGGACATCCGGGGTATGTGCCCAGGGCTATGATGCAGGGTCAAGGACAGGGACAACAACGGGGGTACGACTACGGGTCGAGGCTGGGAAGTAGGGGACAGCCTATTGATCTTACGAAGGGTAATGATGAGAATGGGAATGGGCGTGGGGAGGGGGGGGAACGCCGAGGGCTAGGTCGATGACGGTGAGAGTGGGGGATAGTGAGATGATGGATTTGACGGGGGAGTGAGAGGTGGCACTAGGGGGAGGAGTAAGGTAGGTGGGAATGGTTGAGGCAGACACTTGTATAATCGTTAGGTAACAATTATTCATAGCATTCCCCAAGTATCCCCTTTGCAATCGATCTCGATCGGTGACCTCCATATGCCCTTCAGTCGCGATACTCCGTCTGCCCACGATCCGCACTAGACACTCGCGCATCAAGACCCAGTCGTTGACGATAACCATCCAAGGTGCAATTGGTTTGTCGGTCTTTGCATCCATAGAGGTATCTATCTTTAGGCTGTATAGATTGGCGTCTGGTCCCATCCCCAAACCATTATGTAACGAGGAAGCCTCCGCGGATCTTCTGTGGTAATCCAATCCTCTACGGGTTTCTTGCTTTGTACCTCTAGGTTTGGGTCGTCGTCACGGGTGGGCGGGTTGACTGTGAGGGATGCCCAACAACGCCTGGCCTTCCTGAAAATCTGCAACCAATCCGGAAAGTTATCGCTGCCGGTACCTAATCTACAAGATCGTCGACCTTTCTTTTCCAGACTTTCTTTCCGCACATATGGTGAACTTGGTCCTATCAACGAAAGTTCCATCGATGCTTTCCCGTCATATGAAAGGGCCGAGCTGCGCTTGTGTGTCCTCGCATATGTATTTGTTGGTTAACACGTCTTCCGGACCTGGACAAGAACATTGAATCTCTGCTTGTCCTATGTAGAACCTCTTCCATATATGTATCGGCAGGACTGTTGCGGGCGTCTGGTCGAGGATTGCATTGCCCAACGTGTCGTGTCGATTTGCATGATGACTGATCGAAACCTCACAGACACATCAAATCATAAAGCTCATCCATCAGAGGCGTTGTAGTAATTCTGGCAAAAACTTGTAAACATATTTTCCCATCCTAGACATAGTGACAGGAAGTCCGTGTCAGTGATGTCGTCGGCACGTACATCGAAACTTTAAGATGTGTAGAGGTATGGTAATGCTGTAGCAACTCACTTGACACAGGTTTGCACCGCTTCGATGACGGCAGAGGGGTCGGCGATGCTTTGCTTAGGTTCCTGGCAAGGGTAAGACCTAAACTATGTTGTTTACAACTCTGCAGGATAGACAGACATTGTCGCATATCTCTCTACACCTTCCTTGGCTGTAGATGTTCCAGCCCATGCCACGGACCTCATATGAGTATGAGGGAAAGTGAGGGGTGAGTCAGACAAAGGGGTATGTGATGCAAATACCTAGTGTAACCAGAATCCGAAAGCCAAAAGCCAAAAGCCAAAAAAAAGGAGAGAAAAAAGAAAAGGAGATTGTACAGTCCGGGAGTCGAACCCGGGTTGCTCGCCGCGACGACTTCTTAGGGCCCAGCAGTCGCGTTTGCGGGGCGAGAGTACTACCGCTATACTAACTGCACTTCTTTTTTGTTTGTTGAATAACACTCGGGGGGAACTAGTATATGAAGGGCTAGTGAAAGGGGCAGGCGGGGCAGGGACTGGACATGGAAGGTGCGCAGAGACTGGTACAGGGCGGGTAGATTACATGTACCTACCTTACGTGTCGGCGGTTGTTTGCTGCCTGCCCGCCTGGTTTGGTATCCGGCGGTATTCGTTACCAAGGAAGGGGCGGGATTCTGGTATGGCTGGGGAAGGATAGAAGTACGATGAGGATGGTATGACAATCCTTGGCTAATGCAATGAATTGGATGGTGTCAATGGCGTTGAGGAGGTAAGTCATCTGGAAAGGCTCTTTAATATGAGGAGGGAGTAGGTCTCGGAGTGGATTGTTCTCCATCATGATCTGGAAGGAGCGAGCGTGAGAGCCGGGATATTGAGGGCTCTTTGACACTCGTTTCTGGATCTGGAAGGATGGGTACCTACTTACCTAGAGGTACCTCTACACTATGTTGAGGAAATGGTCACTTGGGAGCTCTTCTAACGTTCTGTGCTCTTATGGGCTCGTCGTCATGAAATCGAGAGATGGTGGTGTAGTTCCCCATCCCGTTATTTTCCTTTATGCTGTACATAGTGCAAGGGACCAAGGACTGGGGCTGTCTGCGCACCCTCTATGATTAGGAGCAAGACCGTGAAAGTTGATGCCTTCCTTATTTTCCTATATCTTTTCCCACCCAGGGGCAGTTTAGCGACAAGGCGTTGACAGAAGACAACCCACGGCACGCCCTATCAACCTTTGCAACACAATACTCCCACCACATCATGACCGGCTAGCTCAGTCTCAAAAGAATCAACAATCTCGGAGACCATTGGACAACGACACGGCAGTCCATACAAGACTGGCTGCCACGCTCCCAGCCCCTGGGCTCCTTGCCGACGGAGCTCTCTCCGGCAGACTACATGTAGGCTAGTACTTACCACGGCGTCCTGCCGTGCGCACAAGCTCACCTCTTTAGCAACACCGTGGGAGTTATCGGTATCGATTTGGACAAGGTGTATGCACATGACATGCAGATCCGCATACTCAGAAATGAGTCCGGCACTCACGACATGCTCAGGAAGACCGACCCCGGCGTTGACGATGTACACGTACCACACTTCAATGGCCTTGAAGCTCGATGTGCGCTTGTGATGGTTTGCCGGCCTCGAGGAGTTATTAGGAAGGGTCCTTCGCGACCGGGACAAATGGCCGCCAGGAACATGTATCTAGATGACTTCGAGTGAAACCAATCCAGCCACATATAAAAAACCTCTACCCCGTCTACTCCGCCATCTGGGCCGCCAGCTCGACTGCCCTGGTCCTAGAAGCGGAGGAAGTGCTCGTCGTTGAAAGCCGACGTTATCCCACTAGTAGCGGAGTTGATGAGGGCCTGAATAAGGTAAGGGCCAGCTCGAGGCTCGAGCAAGGGGGCACTGGACGGGACATGGAGGATCAGGGATACGCATATGGAGATCCATCCCCATATTCGTCCTCGACCTGCTCCCGCTGTCCTTGGACTTCCGTATCATTCTCGTTCATCACCCGTCCAATTCTTAACGCTGGAGCATATATATCGAATTAAAGGAACCGGCGTGTTTTGATGACTACCTCCGACCTGAGCGGGTGGACGAGGAACGCTGAGAAACGGCATATTGTATTGCTCTATATACCGAACAGCTCGTGCGAACGCCTTTGCGAGACATAAGAGGTGCTTATTCCCTGGAAAACGTCTTATTGTCATTATGACGCCCAATAAGTAAGTACAAGTATCTCGTACACATATAATGTAAGGTGCAAGACAAGTCGGTCACGGAAGTGGACAAAGATGACTTGAATGATGATCAACTTGTTGTTGATGATTCTAAGAAGCTATCTGGGTGACAGACTTTCCGAAGTCTGTCTTAAGCACACTGACACAGGTCGTTACCAAACCTGACCTGGTGCGCCCTTGCCTAATAAGGCAGGCGTTCTAGTCAAGTCCGTCCTCTCACACATAAGCCCTTGATCGCAAATAACATCAAAGAACATATGCAGTCAAAGCCATGAAAGATCGTATGATCCGAAAGAAGAAATTTTCCATCTCCTCCACCCAACTCCGAAACCCCATACAATATCCCAACCCAACTCAAGAACGGCATCGCAGTAGGATCAGCTTAATCTACAACCTTGACACGGAAAAGATACCTCAGACGAATCTGGGCAACATCGTACACAATATACTCGTTGTAAAACAGATCAGCGTCCGGATAGTTGGTGTCGCCGGGTTTAAGCGACGACGTGTCGGGCTGGACTTTTCGTTAGCAACCATACCTGTCATATCGGTATCAAGATAAACAAGAAAAGAGCTTACCATCATCACACCCTGCAGTGCCGGGTTCACAACACCAGCATCCTTCCACATCAACGGGCCACTCCTGCCCTTACCCCACGTAGAGAGCATTCCCTTCTGCTTGGCGTTCTCTCCAGCATTGTAATCGGCATCAGTCAACTCCTGGATGGGGTCGCCAAGCTCAGCCTCGCAGAGCAAGAGGAGGGCCGTTTCATTGGACTGGTATGCACAGCAGTAGCCTGCTGACTTGCTGGACATATCCGCTAGATAGACGCCCTTGCCGAACATGTAGCCATTGACGGGCGCTTCCGGCGGCGCGATGCGGAGACCCTGGCTGAGAATACCGCCGAAATTGGTGGAGCGGGAGCCGTGCCACAAAAGCTTGCGATTCTTCTTGAGCTTCAACTTGCCGTCGGCATAGTCACTCTGATCGAACCGGTCGAACTCGCCCTGGCGCTCGATACGGAATATCTCCTCCACTTCGTAGTCGACTTCGTGAGTATGACCCCGTGTGTCGACCAGGTAGTCTTGCAGATGGGTGAACTCGATCGAACCCCGGGCCAAGGGTGTCATCTCCTGCATCTTGAGGCCTTGGTACTGCCTGTCCAGGGGATGAACATCGAACTGGGTCTTCTCGATCTTCATGATGTTGCTGGCTTCCTTCATGTCGCTCAAGTTTTCGAGCAGTTCGATTTCTTGCTTCAGCTGCTGATCGGTCGCAATGATCGGTGGTCGGTCACGGCCGAACGCGTGCGGAATCACGGAGTAGTAGGTGTTTGACAAGTGTTCAACCGCTTGCTGGTACGGTAGACCATACTGAGAAGCTTTGGAAGGGTCGGTGAAAAGCTCGGAAAGATTCTTGAGCGCCTGGAAACCACGCATGATGGTGGCCTTGCTGAGCTTTCCCAATGGGAGCTTGTTGCGATCGTACTTGAGTGCCGCCATAGTGTTGTTCATCAACTGCTGGTTGAAGATGAGTTCCATGAGCTTAGCCACTGAAGGGTTGAGTGTGCATTTGGGAGGCTCCCAGTCGTCTTTCTCTTCCTTGGTGGCCGCGCCGCCCTCGGCTTCATCTTCGTCATCGGATTCCTCCTTATAGTTCACCTCGATGAAGGCATACTTCTTGGGCTTGGGGTCATCACCTCGGTTGCTCCAGAGCAATCCCGACTTGTCCTTGAACTTCTTTTCGAAAGTGCGCAGGGCATCTTGGAGAGACGCGGAGTCGATAAGCGAGTGCTGGCCGGACTCTCCGACACGCCCCCAGCGCGTCCAGACCGCGAACCGCATGTTCTGCTGCGTCAGAAGCTATTTGACCCGTTAGTTTGAGGATGCGGCAGGAGAGGTTGAGACGGCGACTTGCCTGAAGACGATAGAACTTGTTGTTATTGCCAGTGGAATTGGCCAGGTTCAATGATGCGTCGTAGATAACACCATCAGAATCAACATGGACGTTGTAGCCATAGGGAGCGCCTTCGTCGGTAGGAATCTGCACTGTCTTGTCTTTCAGGACTTGGCCCTCGCCCACGGCTTTTGTGCTTTTGAGTTTGGACTTTTTCAGGGTGTCCTCCTCGCCATCAGCCTTGACGCCATCCTGCGATGGCGACGGCGATCTCTTTCTCTTGGTGCCTCTGGTGTCATCACCATTCTTCTGGGAGGCAGTGTCTGCGTCAGCCACGGAAGCGTCACTAGCGGCATCCAAGGAGGACAAGTCCAGAGCGTAGTCATCTTCCGGTTGTCGGGCGTTCTTCTCTTTGGTCTTCAGCAACCAGTCGATGCTGACAACGGGAATGTTCATTCCATGTGCCTGCCTGACCTTGGTGCTTATCTTGTTAGCGTTCTTGTCGGAGTAGATTACATGGGTGACGCCTTGCACCATGGCGGTCACGGTGGTGTTTGCTCCGAGGGACTCTGCTGTTCTCTTGTGCTGGTCTTGACCGCCAGCAAAGGGTCCACTGAAGGCAATGCGACAGTCTTCCAGCGGTAATTTTGCTGGGACAGCCGCTTCGTTCTTTGCTCGTCTGGGCGGCATCGTGACGAACTGAAGGGTTTCCGCTGGAGGGGGGAAGGGTGTGAGCGCGTCCGAAAGTAAACAAACAATGGGGCGTGAAGGAAGGGTGAAAGCTGGCAAGGATCGTGCCAAGATTGATTGATCAAGCTGATGGAAAACGAGAAGTTGAGAGAAGTTGACAAGAGACCGAGGAAGATTGCGACAAAGGAGAAGGACGGGAAGGAAGCAGCAACTCTACTCCGGGGAACAACACCTGCTTGATATTGGTCCTTCCTAGCGCCTATGAATACATCCATTTGGGCAAGCGCGCTCCGCGTGACTTCCAGGCAACAACCACCCCTGCACCTGCATCTGGGTCCCTCCTGTTGTCCCAATTCAGTGCCATTCAATCGCGAAATCACGGGACAGGCCGCAGAATAAGTTGCCCGCTCCTTCCGTTCTTTGGTCCTTCTTCAGGCAGCTCAGCAGGGTGACCCACAAAACGCCAGGCAACAACCACCCCTGCACCCTAAACAGGCCCAAAATGACGTGATGCCAAGAGTTGGGGTAGCTTTGGAGTTTGGGGTTCATCCAAAGTGGAGAGATGCCGCCGGCAAGACCATCGTCGTACAGAGTTTCGGGGTACCACATTGGCAAAACACCATGA